GAAAGAGGGAGGAGCTGGAATTTACCTCCAGGCTTCAATAAGACTCTGAAGTCGTGTGAATTTCTCACCCCACTAAACAGCAGTGGCACCAACTAGTTTCAATAAGTGGTTTTATTACTGGTTAGATTTTACAAATTCTGATATTCGAACAGACTTCCACCTTAAAATTCTAAAACAACAAAGCGACCGTTTGGAGGGGGTTTGATTTTTCCTTTTTTTTTTTTTTCCTTTTTTCTTTTTTAGGACTATTCAAAGTAACAAACTTTTTTTTCTTTTTTTTACATTTTTGCTCTGGTCATAAATATACAGAGAGAAAAAGAGGGAGAGAAAAATGAACAAGTCGTCCGAAGTATGGAGATAAAACAGTATTCCTAAGGCACGTGGCAGTCTTTGAAAATACAGAAGCTCTAGCCAACTTAAATTATTTGTTGTTCTTCCTCGCTCAGTCCACAAAACTGTACAGTGACACAAATGTTGTGTTGCAGATAGATCTTCCAAGTAATTCCTCGGTCCACACCGCTGCGTTAGCCGGACGCGCAATTATTGTCTTCCTCTGTTTCCAGGCGAGATCCTAAAATGTGGTTAGTTAGTTGCTCAAAGCCTCTATTTTAAAATACACTTGGAATTCAACTAAAGATAATTTCTTTTTTAAAGAAATTGTGGGGCCAAGGTTGGGGGGGGGATGGGGTGCGAGTCATTAGAAAAGGTTGGTAAGAGTCGTTTGTGAGGGGCTGTGAGGCTCGTGGCCCTCCAGGTTGCCAGGCACAGAAGTTAAGACGGACGTCACAGTTGGCAGGGTGGGGCTAGTCAAGTCTGTGAGGGTGGTGGGCGTGCTGGAGGGGCTGAGCGAGGCGTTGGAGAGCTCCGAGGCTGGCCCTGACGGTGTCCCGGTCTGCAGCGCCGCCTCTGTGGACTTGTCCACGCCCGTGTTTTCCTGCCGTAAGAGGTTGCGCCTGAACTTGGCCCTGGCGTTCTGAAACCAGACCTGTGTGGGGGGATAGGGAAGGGCTGGTTAGGGGAAGGCGGCCAGGCAGGAGAGGAGAGCAGAGCATTCCCCGGACTGCCTAACTCAGAGACCCTAATCACTAATCAGTATTTTGTGTTTTTTTGGAGGGGAGAATAAAAAGTCAGGCTGGTACTATTCTGTTCTTAATAAAATAAAAATTTCCTTTTCTCTCATGGGCTATTACTGAGTTTCCCTTTCTGTTAGAAGGTTCCAGAGCTGAGCCACTCTCTCCAATATGGTAGCCACTAGCCACATATGGCTATTGAGCATGTGACATCAGATAAGCCCAAATGTGACTAGTCTGTAGGTGAAAATATACAAACTGTTAAAAATTTAATATAAAAAAAATAAAATATCTAGTAATAATTTTTATACTGGTTACATGTTGAAATGATAATATTTTGGATATGCTGGGATCAATAAAATATATTGTCAATGTTACCAGTTTTTTTTTTTAATGTGGCTACTAGAAATTTTTAAATGTAAAATTACATATGTGGTCATGTTGTATTTCTTTCAGACAGTGCTGTTCTGGAAGATTCGGTCAAACCAAATCTTGATTGTTCCTCACAACGATTGAGAGATTTGGTTTTTTTCCAGCCGTCACCTTTAGGCACACAATAGAGCCCACGAGTTCTGGTTGGCACAATGTTCACCATGTTTCGGGATCACTAAGTCTGGGAAATACTAGAATGGTGTAAAGAGCACAGGAATCAATCCACAGAGAGTTCCTAAGAGGAAGAAAAGGACGCTAGTCGACTCGCCACCGCCATTAGCTGGAGAAGCCACCGCTTCCCTGGACCCTGGGTTTCAGGTCTCAGGGCAGAAGTGGGCAAGAGGGGAGCAGCCACCGAGAGGAGAGCAAGGCCAGGGAGGCCGCGGCCCGTAGGTTCCCATCCCCAACCTGCCGCATCCCAGGCCCATTCATGAGGGAGGAGGGGTTGGCTGCACAGTTGGAACCGCGCTTGGTATGAAAAGAATACCAAAGGGACAGAATAAGGGCTTACTTTCACTTTTTCCTGAGTTGCAGACACATGCCCCCATCCACACACATACCTTTGTACAGGAGCCTGTATGCAGGCATGAAGACCAAGCATTAAATTCATCTACACAGGCCCCCCCCGCCGTCACCCCAAATATGCCCACCAGTCTAACTGCACAGAGATCTGGCTGTAACCAGGGATCCTCAAAGGCCTAGGAAATCTACGCCGTTGTGGGGGTGGGGATAGGCCTGGGGGGCTGTGTCTCCAAAGAAAGAAGCCCAAAAGGCAGGGCCCCCTCACTTCCCTTTGCGTGAGGAAATCACCCGCCAGAAGCCTCCCCATAAAACACAGGGCCTTGGGGGATTCTGCAGATTCTCGGGTGTCCAGTTGTGAATTGCCAGATGTGCCTGCATCTGCCTGTCTTCCCAGTGTCTCAGACGGGTGGGAAGGGCCGAGGCCTGGCCCCACCCTCCCCTGGGGACCACCCCAGCTACAGGAGCCTGTGGCTTCACACCCGCCTTTTTGGTGGCCTAATACAATTTGGGCTCAATTAAAAGCACAGCCGCCGGAATCCTGGAGTGAGGAGGGAGACACGGGCCCTGTGAAGTCAGGAAACAAAGCTCTCTCCCCAGCACACTGGGTCTTCCCAGGAAGAAAGCACATTTTCCCTGGCCTTTCGCCCAGAACAAGCCCATCACCTCTTGGAGGCTAGCAAATGAGTCCAATGCTTCTAAACCACCTCCACATGCTCTCCTCGCGGCGGGGAGGTCCTTCCCTGCCCGGCCTCCAGACATCTGCCGGGCGAGACTCCGCTTCTGCTGGTCTGGGGAATGGCTGATGGACAAAGCCCCAGAGGCCCTCAGAGGGAGGAGGTGACCTCCCCAGTCCTGTGGCAGGCAGGTGAGGAAGGCTGGAGTGTTGGTGCCAACTTTTGCCACTGTCCTGGCCTGTGTGTCTGTCTGTCCAAGCAGCAGCTGGAAAGAGGAGCTCTGGGGGTGGCAGGTGGCTCGGGGGTCCAGGGGTCCAGGGGTCCAGGGCTCCAAGCCCTCGGGAAGGGCTGGAACTGGCTGTTTAGCTGTGGGCTGTTTGCTGTTTCTCTGCTGTTGCCCTAACAGTGGTTGTAAACAATGACACCATCGTCCACAGTGCCTCCTCGGCCAGTCGTACTGGATCAGAGGCACCGGAATCCGCTGGGTGATAACCAACAACTCAGCCGAAAGGGAGCTGCTGTGGGGATTGTGTTGGGTTTGCTTTTCACCTT